GGGCTGTGCCATAACCTTCCGTGCTGCCCACCCCCAGGACTCAGCACAAACCCCACGCACCTGGAGATGGGCACCGCCGTGGGGCTGAGAGCCCCAGCAACGACACCGGTGAGAACTATGGGGTGGGGGAGGAAGGGGGAAGGTGGGAGGGTCTGTGCCAACCTGAGCCCCTCCTGCAGCCCTGGCCCAGATCTGCGGAGGTGAGGGCGGCTTCGACGCTGCAACGCTGAGCGAGAATGGCACCATGCTCTTCTTCAGGGGTAGGGAGGGGGCTGAGGGTGTGGGGTGGGGGCTGGGGGCGTGGGGAGAAATGCGGTCGGGGGGGAGATGGAGGTGGCACTGGGAGGGGGTGATGGGCTGCTGGATAAATGGAGTGTGGGAAGGGGAGAGGATGGGAGGGGATGTGGGAGGTGTGGGGCGATGTGGCACTGGAGTGTGGGAGAGAATGGGGTGGGGGGGGGGGGATGGGGTGGGGGGGAAATGGGGGGAGATGGGGTCTGTAGGGACCAGGGGATACAGGGAGTGTGGGTAAATGAGGGGGGAGGTGGGCTGGGGTGGCTGTGGGGCAGTGCTGTGGGGTAGCACGGTGCTCCCGCCCAGGAGGGGACGTGTGGGAAATCTCGTGGGAGAGACCCCAGCCCCACAGCCGCCCCCTGGCTGAGTCCTGGCCTGAGCTGGAGGGGCCCGTGGACGCAGCGCTGCGCATCCACCGCCGGGATCATCCCGAGGAGCACCAGAGCCTCTACCTCTTCCAGGCACGGTCCCAAGATGGGCAAGGGGGTCCTGAGCTGGGGGAGCTGGGGTGGGGAGTTCCAGGCTGGGAATATCACACTGAAGGTCCTGGGCTGGGGGTCTGAGCTGGGGGGTCCCAAGCCGGTGGTCCCGGGGTGGGGAGTCCCTTGAGGTCCTGGCCTGGGCTGCTCCTGGCTGCTGGGGGGCTGCCCCTGTGTCCACATCCCTGGGCTGTCCATGAGACAGGCAGTCCCGAGGCCCCGGCCTCCTAGGGCTGCTCCCATGGAGCCACCCGGATCTGAGAGCTGAAGCTGCGGGGCTCATTGCAGGGTGAGAAGGTCTGGTCCTATGCCGGGGGGCAGCTGCGCCCCAATTTCCCTCGGCGCATTGCAGATGAGTTCCCGGGGGTCCCCGGAGATCTGGACGCTGCTGTGGAGTGTCACCCTGAGGAGTGCGGTGGGGAGAGCGTGCTCTTCTTCAAGGGTGAGAGCAGAGCGGGGGCCGGGGGGGCTGGGGCTGCATGGCAGAGCCACACCGTACGAGCCGTGCTGCCCCATATGAGCTGTGCTGCCCCATATGAGCTGTGCTGCCCCATATGAGCTGTGCTG